CCCAGAGACCTGCAAGTGCAGTCATATGACCAATAAAGAAGCAGGGTGCGAGAACTGAGCATAGACCCAGTGTGCACTTTAATCCAGAAACGTGCTGTGAAGATGCAGGATGGCCCCACGCAGGCCCCCTGCTGTCTCCAGTCCCTAAGCAGGCTATGGGCACAGAAAGCCCAAGGGGGCTCAGGAAGAGGAGCAGGGGACAAGTTACTAGGGGCAGCTGTTGCAAATGTGAGGGAGGGGTAATTTCACACAGAAGAAAATGTCTCAGTGACAGACACAAGGTCTCTAAAAATAGTCCTGCTGAGAGCCTAGTGGCCGCTGGCACAATCGCTGATGTCAGGATAGGAGGTGTCTTGGAGTTGGCTCAAGCGGCTGAGAGGGAGGGAAGGTGCTATAAACTCGCAGTAGAAACTGGAGCCCAGCCAGGGAGATAAAAATGCTGCGGAGGGCTGTGTACAGGTTAGGGAGCAAGGCTGCACAGGAAGGGAGGTCGGCAGGTGAGGCAATGGGACGAGAAGCCCTGAATAGGAAGAGCCCCGTCCACGGGGCTGGGGACTGAGCGGTTCTGGGCTCAGATGAGGAGACAGCAGGACAGGCCCGTGTCCTCATCATGGACACTGAGGCCGCAGTGAGGCTGTGCTGGCTGCCGCCTCCAGGAGAGGCTAGGCAGGATGAGGCCCACAGCCAGACTCAGGGGAGCTGCATGGGAATTCCGGCTCAATGCCAGGAGCAGAGCTACCGGGAATGAGCCCAGAGGCGGCCAGCACCCACGGTCTTGTCAGGATTAACCTAGATCCACGTCCTGGATCCTGACAAGACCACTGAACTCAGGAGGGGGCTGGTCTTATGGCCCACTCCCCTCCTGGCATGCCAGAGGTGGCGTACCCTCCTCTGTCAGGAAGCAGCAGACTTCTCCCGATGAAACTGGGGAGACAGGAGAAGGCCGTGAGCCAGAGGACTCGGGCAGAGGCAGCAGGCGCCCTCCGTCTGTCCCTCGGGAAGGGAGAACCAGCTCGGACCTTGCGCAAAGCAGCAAAGGCAGGCCCGAAGGTGGCTTTGACCTCCACGCAGCCTCGGATCCAGGCAGGCAGTTTGGCCAGGGTTGCTGGGCGGGCATAACGCTGGTCCAGGAGCACAATGCTGGCAAAATCCTTCTGGTGCCTGATGGCCCTGCCTGGGAGACAAGGCTTTGGGCTCGACCTGCTCCCTGCCAGTGCAGCTCCCGTGCAGCCTCACATAGGGGACAGCAGGCAAATTTGAGCACCCCAGCTGGCTTACCTATAGACTGGTTGACGGCCTTCATGCACAGGTTCTCCACCAGAGCCTTCCCTGGGGGCGGCTGTCCCAGGGTTCTGGGCTGCGAGGGGTGAAGGAGGAAGCCTGTCAGCACCCCAGTTCTCTGAGAAAATGGCACTGCCCATGACAGGGGCCCCATGACAGCCACTGATGGAAGAGGGGGTGTCATGGGAAGACCAGGAGGTTACGGGGCACCCTCAACCCGTGCTGTGTGGCCCATGAGCCCCTGGCTGCACTGCTGTGCTCTGGGCACTGCAGGGACTCACTAGGGTCTGATCCAGGTAGGCCATCTTCTCTTGTAGCTCCGGAGACTTGATGTTGGGGTAGGGCAAGCCCACCATGACCACACACCTGGGGAGTGTGAGGGTCCCATGTTAGTGGATGGGCTCTCCAAGCCCAGGAGCACAGCCCTGAGCCTCACCTGCTCAGTTCTACCACCCCCTCCCCGGCAGCTCTGCCTCCCACACCCCACTCCGTACCTGCTACCCAGAAGGGCGTTTTCAGCCAGGAGATCCAGCCTAGGCTAATGAACTGAGTCCCCATCCAGGTGGGTGCTGCACCACTTCCAACTGGCCAGTACTGTACTGCCTGGCCCTGAGCATGCAGCCGGGCAGGATTCTCGGGGGCTCAGGTGAGAGGAGCCCACTTACCGGCCCAGACTGTCCGAGAAGTTGATGCCTTCACTCATCTTCCCTCCGACCACGGAGAGGAGCAGGGCGCCGGTCACTGTGCCTGCAGCCTGGCCACAGCCCTGCAGAGACACCCGCCAAAAGTATTTTTAGCTGACAACCTCCCGGGTTCTCCGGACCCATAGCCTCGGAGCTAGAGCTAACCTTAATGCACCTGGAATAGTCCGTCAGCACCTGCTCCACTTGGTTTGCTCTCCTGGGCTCCTGAAACACCTGGTGAGGACACCCCAGCTCAGGAAAGGCTTCCGAATGCCCGGTGCTGGCTCTGCCCCAGTCCTTTCTATCCCAGACCGGCTGGGGAAGCTCACTTACACAGGGGGCAGTGAGCAGTGGGAGGAGCCCCTGCCCCCCATTTTGATGGCATGCAAGACTGAGAGGGCCTCGGAGCCACTGCCCGCTCACCTTTTTCCTGACAGCCAGACGGGCCAGCAGGCCGTTCTGCTCCCAGCGGGCGTAGACCTGGCGCAGGTACTCATAGGAGGGAAAGAAGCAGACCAGCCCTCCAGGCACCACGTTGCACAGGTTACAGAGGACTCGGCCCGTCTCATCCACCTGGACAGGGAGATGAGCATCAGGAAGCCTCGCGGCAGGGCTCAAAACCAAGTGCAGAGACCCCAGGCTCACTGGAGCAGACTCCGGGCAGAACCAGACAGGGAACACACTTCAAGGGCATGTGCACTGTCCGCAGCATCCCTGCCACACGTGGCAGTGCCTGCAGAGAGCCAGCTCCCAGTGCCTGAACCACCTTCCCAACATCACCAATGACAAACCAGGGCCCCCCAGACCGGCACCCCTGCAGGGCAGGGGACTAGAGCAAATTAGCAGCTTGGCCCCGCACGGCGTCCTACAGGGATGCCTGGGCCTTTAAAGAGCACCCGTGCAGTGGCCTATGGAGTGAGGGATGCTGTGGCCGCCCCTGAAAAACATCGACAGTGATCCCATACGTGGCAGCTCTGAGGAGAGCCCCCTGTACTGGCGGCCGCACCCCAGGAAGCACCCGGACCCTGACACAGGCCAGTGGCAAGGCAAGCTGCCTGGCTGGCTGGCACGAACCATCTGCGGCAGGTCCCTTTTCTGGTAGGTGAACTCCAGCTGCTGGTTGGAGGGCCCGCTGCAGATGACCAGGGGCAGGATGTTGTCCGGAGGGATCACGTGACCTGGTGACACCCAGCACCGGGCTGAAAGATGGAGGGCCTCTCCCCAGTGCCGTCTCCCAGGCTACACCCCTCACTTGTGAGCCCCAATGGGCCCACGGGAAGATGATCAGCGGCAGGGAGCAGAGAACAGTCTGGTTGTACTGACGACAAGGGTGCCAGAGCCCGGGCCCACCCCTCCTTAGAACTTGCTGGGCCCCCGCCAGGGGCACTCACCACAGGAAAACTCCACCACTCGCTCAGGGCCAACCCCAGCACAGGCCAGCAGCTGCTCCCGGAAGTCAGACACCTGCAAAGCATGTGGGTGGACAATGACCCCCCCAGTGGCCAGGAGTGGGGGGACTTGGGAAGGGATTCTGGAGGCAGCAACTTAATACACATGAAAGCTGTCAAATATGACGCAAAACGGGGGATCAAAAAAATGAAAAAAGGCAACAATGGACAGCAGACTGCCCCCAAAGAACCGCCCTAGCTATCAAACCAGCCAGACGAGCCGAGAAAAGCTGGCTTCAGGGGACTTGACATTCTTAGCACCGTGTGGGACATAGTCTAAGGGCAAAAAGTAAACGCAGCGCACTGCAGTCGTTTTACCATTCGATTTATCATCCCGACACTTCTAAGATTGTTAAAGACAAGCAAACAAACACCCCCACTGCCAGTAAGCTGATTCTGACGCGCAGCAAGCAACCTGACAGGACCGAGCAGAATGCTCCCGCGTTCCTCCCAGGGAGCGTGGCTGGTGGGTGTGAAGTGCTGCAGTTCAACACACAACCCAGCATGCCACCAGGGCTCCAAGTGCATTACTTGTGGTAGACTTTAGGGTACAGCAAATGAGTATGCTAATGTAAAAAGACACTAGAATGTTCTGTCTGAGAAGAGAGCTACAAGACAAAGACCCATAAACCAATTCTTTGATTTTTAGCCACAGCCACATGAGTGTGTGATTATTAAAACCACATTTCCTAGGTGTGTCGACAACAATCCAGGGGAGCAACATGAATGCCCCAGCACTGAGTGGTTGGTGTCTACATAAGTGTCTAAGCCGCCCAGCGAGGGAGCTCAGCAGTTAGTAGCCCAACAAGTACCCACTATGCCACTGGAGTTCTTTCTGATGCAGGGCAGTTTTACTTAGAAGTGGCATCTAACGAGAGAGGCGTGGCCCGGTGAAGTGCAATCTCCCAGAGGATGGAGTACCGCACAGCCGGGCCAGATGAGGGCAGCCCAGGCCGGCTGGCAAGGAGAAACGGTGAATGACAGCGTGCGGATGGAAAGAGCAACTTGCAGCACCAGCAGAGTGATGCCAGTTTTTTGTACGGCTTTTAAAATATGTATATATCCATGCAAAAATTATGATAGACACCACAATGAATCTGTAGGTGGTGGGATTAGGAGCCCTTCTGTTTTTGCTTGTGCGTGCTTCCTACAATGAAAATGTGACGCTTTGGGGAGAAACGTTTCCATTTGTGAAAGAGAAGATTGACGGGCCTATGGTGGGTGCAGGAAGGGAATGTGACAGGACAGGGAGACATGATCCCCAGCTACTGGCATATAGGGGAGTCTCCACACCTGGGGTCTATCATCCAGCCCCACCACCCCCGTCCAGGCTGAAGGGCACAGGCAGGGAAACAGTGCAGCAGTGCCACCTAGTGGACACCGCGTGCCCTGCTCATGCCAACCCTGTTGTGGCTCGAGGGTCCCGCCAGGACTGGGAAGGGCCAGATGGTGTCTGGGGTCCTCACCGGCTGCATGGTGCCCCCTGCAATGACCACTGCCCGGCATTCCTTCACCACCTGGGCAAAGTGCACGGCTGGATTCAGAAGCAAGAATTTGAGGCCGCTTTGACTGAGGGTGCCTGAAGGGCAGAGAGAAGACAGCTCCGTGGGAAAGGGCCAGCCCAGCGCAGACTGCCATCACGCGGGCACAACCTCCAGATGGCCCGTGGAGGAGACCCGGGCCTTTCATCTTTTACAGTTAAACCCCATGTCATCTCCAGGACCACCCGCTGGGGTCCCTGGTTGTACCCGCTCCGTTTCCACACACGCGCTGAGCTTCAGAAGGAAAGACGCAGGTCCAATGCACACAACTTGCAGACGAGCACGGTGCAAACAGTGCCCGCCGGCCTCCAGAGCCCACAGCCACAGCCACGGCCACGGCCCACGGGCTTCTGCAGCCTGGCACCACCCGGCCCCGCCTTGGCTCCAGGCTTGTCTGCCTGTGTGGCTGACTGCTGGGTGGGGATTACCTTGGCGGCTCAGGATGACCCTGCCGTCCTGGTTGGCCGTGGTGAGTGTTGCCAGGAAGCCTTCGATGTGCATCAGGGGGGATGCAGGCCGAGAGCCCCTGGCCTCACCCTCCTCCACAGGGTCTCCAGGAGCAACTGCGAGGCAGAGGCACGACCGCCTGGCTGGGTGCCCCACGTGCGGGGTCATTCCTGCCAGGGCCTCTTCCTCCCTTCCACTCACCCTCGCTGGCCCCGGGCTGTAGGCCTTGCATGAAGAGCTGAAACCCAGTCAGCCTGGGGTGCTCCCTGGAGGAGGCCAGGACGGCTCCATGTCGCTCCGTGAAGCCGAAGAGCTGGGGGAGGAGGGGCCCGGGTGACAGGAGGACGGACAGAGGCCATGCCAAAGGCATGGGGATTCCCTTCCCACCCGCAGGGGGATGCAGACACGGCCACCCTGGGCTCCCAAGGGTGGGGACAGCCAAGCACCGCAATAGCAGCCAGGACCGGCGGGAACGCACCTTCCTGCTGAGCCTGCTCTTTTCACAGTAGCGCTGCACCTGCAGCCCCGCGGCAGACACAAGACAACGTCACTCAGCCTGTCGGCCCAACGCAGGCAGGAAAGACAGTCTCCAAACACTTCAGCAGCAGGCTCACCGCCCACAGCCTCCTTGGAATCAGCACCTCCACCTCCTCTCAGGGTCCTCCTCCCGGGAGAGGCCAACTGCCTGTCCCCGAGTGCGGCTGGCCAACCCAGCTGCCCCGCACAGCCACATCCCCTCTGCCACCCTTCCTCCGAGGAAATAGGCAGCATCCAAGCTGGGCCTTGAAGACTTAGGGGTTTCAACCAAGGAGCCCCACGACCAAAGGCACGGGTGGGGTCAAGCCTAGGCTTCCTTGAGGAGGTGTCAGCCATGCAGGTACAGAGCCTGCTCTTAGCCTGGGCTAAGGTGAGGAGTTTGAAACCCTCCAGGATTTCTGAAGTCATCCTCCAAATTAATATTCTCTTGAGGGTGTTTTGTAGAATATATTAGAAGGGGGCAGAGAGTGAGATGGAGCAAGCAGATTGGGGGTGATGGTGGTGTGTGTGGCTGTAGAGCTGCAAAGGGCAGGACAAGCCCAGGAGTGTTCTCTCAGCGGGTGAGGTGGCTGCCCGTGACCATGGGGGAGAAGGAAGGGAACACAGAGAGCATGTTTCCAGCCTGGCTGATGGGCTTGGTGGCAGTGACAATGACCAAGAGGAGCATGTCAGGGAGGGGTGGGAGAGGGAGGCCAGACTCTGGAGCAGGCCCAGCTGGGTCCAGAGGTGAGCTCTGCCGTCCGCCAGGTGTGACCCTGTGCACTTCGTTTTTCTGCGGTAACCTCTCTGAGCACACCCTACTGGGAGCGACTAAGCTGACACCCTGCCCAGAGCACAGCAAGTGCTTGGTCAGGGGGGCAGGCAGCGTTCCTTTTGTTTGGAATCTCGACGGGGCGCACTGTGATGAGTTATTTGACGTGGCTTTTCCAGCCAAAGCCTTGGCTGCTCCACCAAACGACCCTGCTCCTGGATGGGAAGAACGCGGGGGAATGCCCTGGAAGGCCTGCGTGGCTCGGTCTTAACGGCCGGGCTCCTGCTGGGTATACACGCAGCCACCTCAGAGACTCGCTACCAGCACAGGAGGAAGCTGGAGGGAGGGTGTCATCTGGACCCCAAGATCCCTGCACACTGAGCCTGCTTAAGCCCAGAGGAGCAGCAACAGCAGATCCAGGGCCAAGCCTTGTGGTGGGCTTCCCAGGCCCCGGATCACATAACGCGGGTGCTGTGGGGCAGGAGGCTGGCTTGTGGAGTGAGGTGCCTCTGGGCACTTAATTGGAGGTGCTGGGTTTGCTGACTCAGGGAGCTGGAGCCCAATGCCTTGGGGTTGAGCTCCAGAGGAGTGGGTGCTCTTTAAGCATTTAATGGTAGCCCGCCGCGCAGAGCAGAGGCCAGGCCAAGAGTCTGAGGGGCAGCAGGGGTCTGCCTGAGGGCACGGGAGAGTAGAAACTACACTGACTGAACTAAACTAAAAGCCAAACTCACTGCCATCAAGTCTGTTCTGACTCACGGAGAGCCTGTAGGAAAGCCCTGTGGTTCTCTGAGGCTGTAACTCCTTACCGGAGTCAAGAGCCTTGTTTTTACCCTGAGGAGCAGCTGGTAGTTTTGAACTGCTGACCCTGCAATGAGCAACCCCACTCATAACCACTGCACTGCTAGGACTATCCGCTGAGTATTCCTCACTTGAATTGTAACCCGTTAATTACCCTTATACGCCCCATGATCACGAGTACTGTCTGAGTTCTGTGTGGCCACTGCCTGACACAGAAGGGGAGGGCCGTGGGCGGGGCGGCTGGTGAGACTAGACAAGGATGGAGAGCAGAGGCATGTCAAACCCCCGCCTCTGGCAACTGGCCCCAGGAGCAAGCGGCAATCAGGTGGTCCCCACCCGGGTGCTGCCAGTGAGGGAGGCTGTGGCCAGCAGGGCTGGGGGAAACAAGGTCTGAGGCTGCAGCGGGAGTGGGAGGCAGGGGTCCCTAAGGCAGCCCAGTCCTCCTCTCCCCAGCCTGGCCCCGTCACCCTCCCAACACACACCTCCTGTCCTGTCACAGCCCAGGGGAAGATGGTAAGGAAAGGCAGAGTCCCGATGCGTGCCCAAAGGGTCTAAGGAGAGGCTCTGTGTCTCCCCACTCCTGTGGCACCTCGGCCCTTTTCAGAGGCTGAAGCCTGCGTGCTCTTTCCGGACACCCTGCTCTGAAAGCGCTCAGCCAGTACACCGGGTATGTTCCCTCCTTACAAGGGGCCTCTGGAGAGGAAGAGGAGAAAGCCTCTACCTTGAACAGGTTGATGTTGTCGATCTGGCTCTGAAAGAGGAAGTCGTTGATGGTCTGCAGCTCTGTTCCTGGGGACAGACAGACATACACGGAGGGCCTTGGGACCCAAGCGCCCAGACCCCGGCTTCCAGGTCCCAGTGTCAGGATGGGAGGGCTTAGGTCAGTGGTTCTCAACCTAATGCCACAACCCTTTAATACCGTTCCTCATGTTGCGGTGAGCCCCCAACCTTAAAAATTATTTTCGTTGCTACTTCGTAACTGTAATTTTGCTACTGTTATGAACCTGGCGACACCCGTGAAAGGGTCGTTTGACCCCCGAAAGGGTCGTGACTCGCAGGTTGAGAACCGCTCACTGGCTTAGGTTCTCCCTGGCCTGCACAGAGGTCCTCTTACCTGTCTTCGAGAGGCTCTGGGTATTGGGGTTCTGCTTAATGTCCCCTTAAAAAAAAGAAGAGTATTTCAACCTATCAGGATGGTCTTCCAGGATGGTCTCTGCCCCATCTCCTCACCCCGACGTGCCCACCCAAATAAGCGTATTTAGATAGAAACGTGGGTTTCTGTTCTGTCGTTTCCAGTAACAAGAACCCGCTGAGAGGGGCGGAGGTTCTGAGAGCCCCACAAGCCTGACCGTCTAACATCAAGCAACTCAACTGAGCCCCAAGGGGCGAGAATGTCCTCATAGTCTGAGCACGCACCTCCACGCCAGGTCCTGCCGGTGCTCAGGGAGCAGGCCGGGGGTCGGGCGCTCTTACCTCCCAGCACAGCCACAAACTTCTCCAACAAATACAGGATCTGTTTGATGTACATCAGGTTCCTGGCCTTCAAGCGCTTCCTGGGGAGAAACCACTGGGCATTAGGTGTTGACTCCTGCAGCAACTGCCCCTCCAACTGCCCGAAGCTGAGCCCTTTCTGGATGAAGCCTTCAAGCTGAAAAAGGCTGGCCACGGCCTCTGGCCTGCAGACCCAGCAGTTCTGTCCTAAGCAGCCTCAGCCTTTGAGGGCGGGCACCGGGGCACACTGCAGAGAGCTGCAGCACGTTGGTCCACTCGGCCCCAGCCTGGGGGAGCCCAGCCTTCCCCTGAGGGGATGAGCCCAAGGGCCCTGGTGCTCAGCAGGCATCTCACCCGTATCGTTCTGTGTACTGGCGCAGCTGGGCATGGGCCTGGCAGAGCTAGAAGAGAGCAGACGGGTGACATGGTGGCCCTGGCTGTGAGCCAGTGACCCTGCGGTTGCACCTAGAAAGGCCAGTCCAGGGCGCACGGGCAACTGAGGTGGGAACTCAGAGCTCCGTTTTAAAGGCCCCGAGGGTGGTGGGAAGAGCCGGTGTGTGTGTGTGTGTGTGTGTGTGTGTGTGTGTAGTGGGCTACAAGTCAGGCTGCTGACCTCAAGGGCAGCGGTTCAAATCCACCAGCTGCTCTGCAGGAGCAGGATGCAGCTCTCTGCCCTCGTAAAGAGTGACAGTCTTGGGACACACAGGAGCCAGTCCCGAGGGTGGCTGTGAGCCGGGATCAACGCCGTGGCAGTGAGTTTTTGGAGGCCGGTGGGGGCCGAGAAGGAAGGAAGGAAAACAGTCTGCAGAAGCCCCCACGGCTCACGGAGACCAGCAAGAAAGGATGCGGCTGCCTCTGTTGGTTGCTACTGGGTCCCACGAAGAGTAAGGGGTCAAGTTCACAATGGCATTCTCTCTGACGGTCAAGCCCAGTCACTGGTGAGCAGAGATGGTGGTGGGTCGTGTGGGTTTCAGGGTCAGAAGCCAGTTGTTAAGTCTGGCTCTACAATTATTTCCAAAGTGACCCTGGGAAATGGTTGAAGCCACCCTGACTCCTGAGTTCTAAAGGTCAAACAGCAGAATCATTCCCACCGTGGCATTAGCATGAAGGTTAGAGACCCATCCAGCACCCAGTGCGTGAGACTCCTACATACATGGTGACTTCCAGAAACCATGGGCGGCTTCCCTCACTTAATGCTGAGAGCACAGGACCGACAGCAGCATGGAACCACGTGCAGGCTCCTGCTTCCTGCAGCTCAGCTGCCCGGGTTCTGCAGAACGGGTCAGTAGCACCCTGGCCGAGAAGGACCCAGGAGACAGCATGGGATGAGCAAGGAAACGGGGCACCTCGCCCGTGCTGGGTCCCCATCCGTCAGAGATTTGCTGCAAAGTCACAGACAGGCACCGGCAGGGCCACTGCAGGTCGGGGCGTGTCCTCCCAAGCCCGTCTCTGGGGGAACCCAGGTCCGTCGAGACACAAGCTCCTGGCCTTTCTGGTGGCAGGCCCTGGCCCAGGTAAGGAGAGGCTGGCCTACCTGGGAACCGCTGACTTCTGAGCTGTGGATGGCGGTGATGGTGTCGATCAGGTTGTGAGCCTCGTCGATGATGACCACCTGGCCCTGCAGCCGGATGCCCGCCGCCCGCCGTGTGGCCGCGTGCAGCAGCATCTGGTAGGGCAGCACCACCAGCTGTGGGAGGAGAAGGCGGGGGGGGGGGGCTTGGTGGCCTGGCGGGATGACGGGAGGAGTATTCGAGACAAAGCTACAGAGGAGCGCGGTGCGCCTAGCCACAGGCCCTTGGTGGAACACCAGATAGGTGGAGCAGGTCGCAGTGGGCACCTCTGACTGAACTGGACTAGCAGGGGGGGACTGGGGGAACCATTTCTCCTTAGCCTCATGTATGTCCGTCCCCCAAGTACCAATCCCTCAGCCCCAGCTGAGGTGCCCAAGGCTTTCCCCAGAACCAGGGGGTGCCAGAGAGCACCCTGGGCTGTGGTGCCAGCTGCCACTTCTCAGTGGTGTGCCACTGTATGCCACTTGGCCTCTCTATGCCAGTCTCCTCATCCACAAGATGCGCTTGGTAAACTCCAGAACCGAGACTAGATCGAGTGAGGGTTAAAGGTTATTAAAAGGTTGTTAATAAAAAAGCACTTGGTAAGGCTTTGGGTGCTATGCTTTTACAAAGAGTGTCCAGGTAACAGAGGGAAAAAACAACAACTGGAAAACTGGCAGCCTAAGGCCTCGGCTGTCATACCGGCTCCATTCCTCACTTGCTGGGAGGAAACTGGAAAATCACACCCCTTCTCAGGCCTTAGGGGCAATGCCCACCTTAGCTACCTCCCTGGGCACATGGCTTTAGAGAATCAAGGTCGGAACGTGCAGGGTTGGGTAGATTTTCACCCCAAACACAAAACACTATTTAAAAAGAACATGGAACTGCCAGGACGGCTCATGATACTCGTGCACCCACGTCGCCAGCACTGAACTTGCGCTGTGGAGAGACCCTGGCAAGGGTGCTGGGCCCGGCCCAGCGGGAGCGTTCCAGCGCTCTTCTCCGGGCACCCACAGCCACCTTGTTCAGGGCACACACGGACGGGCCTCCCTATCAGCAGATTCTCCGGCGCCTGTGGCACCCCTTCTTGAGCACCTTGACTGGCTTCCCCACTCGTGAGCACCCGTCACATCACCCAAAGACTCAATCCAGGCGGCTCCAAAAAGTCCAGGCACATCACCAAACCACACAGCCACTCTGCAGGGGTCTCTCCAGTGGGCCATTTCTTAATATCACGGGTACAAAGCCAACAGTACCAGCCTGTGCCACGGGAAGACCATGCACGTTGGGACCACGGCTCTGAGCGGCAGGGTGGCAATACCTCTATGTTCTGGAGCTCCCTGTGGGCGCCAGCAGAGCACACTACTGTCTGCTGGGCTCCAGGGAGACCTTCGGCCCTGAAGCCCGGAGCCACCAAGGGATCTGTGTGCCTCTGAGCCCTCGGACGAGGAGGAGTGGTTCCGCACGCTGACAAGTGAGAAATTCCCTCCGGCCCTACACCACTGTTAGAGCCAAGAGCCAGCCCTCAGTGCTCCAGGGCCCTCACCTGGGCCGCCGGGATAGCCAGTCGGCTTCCGTAGTAGGGACAGGCCCGCGCCTCCTTGCCCAGGGCCACCAGCTGCTCAATGTCCTTCACCTCCAGGAGGACCTCGTCCCGCAGGAGCTGCATCTGCTCGTGGTTGTAGAAGGGGCAGGTAGTCCCGCCTTCCTGCCGCCTCCGCTTCGGCTTCTCGGCCTCTGCTTTGCTCCTCTTCTCTGAGGACGGGGCTGGCACCAGGGGACAAAGACAGAGAACAGAACATGTCAGTGGAGCTGGGCTTTCTCAGGACAAGGCCCAGTGCCCTGGGGCTGGGGTTCTAAAAGCCTGCTTGCTGTGGTCGCTTGCTGTGCGTTCTATAAACTCACTGCCACCGAGTCAATGTCCTGTAGGACAGGGTGGAACTGCCCCTGCAAGTTTCTACAACTGTGACTCTACAGGACTAGACCACCGTCTCTTTCCCTTGGTGTGGCTAGTACTTCCAAACTGCTGACCACTTGGTGACCACTGCACCACCAGAGCGCCCTGCGTCCCATATACCCTAGAAAACCACCAGTCAGGGGTGAGGCTGGGCTGACCCAGAAAAGCAAGATCGCTTTTTCCCAAAAGGCACCCGGGGTCAGCGCTGCCATTCTTTCTATGTAAGATCCTGTGTTTCTTTCCCAGGCTGCTGGTCCATCCTCAACAGGATGGGCTCTGAACAGCCCGGCCCGCCCACTCTCTCCCCAGCACTGTCCCCAGGCCAGCTGGAGCCAGCCGAGGCGCTCCTCTGCCTACCGAGCTTGCTTCTCTGCATCTCCATGCAGCGGTCATTGATGAGCTGCACCGAGCCCAGGCGGCTCACGTCCTCGTTCACACAGAGGTTCTGCGAGATGAGATGGGAGACGGAGAACCAGTCAGAAAGGTAGGGCTGGCTGTCTCGGGGGCCCCCTCTCATCTTTCTTCCCTCCTGTTGCTCTGCGGGCCAGGTCCCCTGCTTCTGTTTACCTGCCGAGAGCCGAGCGAGACAAGCCGGGTGTCCTTGCCAAAAGGGCTCTTCTGCACCTCGTGTACAAACTGGGCCAGCTGGGAGTGGGTCCGGCTGCAGTAATAAACCTGGTCAGAGGAGGAGAGGCGATCTCAGAGAAGAGGACTTTCCAAGACATTCTCTACACATCAAGCCAACGCCGAAGCAGCCGGGGGGCTGGAGCCAAGTGACCCCCAAATACACAAGCTGTCTCCACACAAGCCTCATCCCAAGGTTCTTCAACTCCTCCTCAGCTCTAGAACCGAGGGGAACTCCAGTAGTCTCACAGTCTAGAATCCAACTGCTTCCCAGGGCAAGGCGATCTGAGCAAGGTGTGTGGTGGTTCTGGACCTGGCAAAGATCCCTCACATTTGGGGGAGGGGGGGAGGGCTTACAGGCAGCAGCAGGAGCCCTGGTGGCGCTGTGCTTTAGATGTTGAGCAAGGTCAGAAGTCCCAACTCCCGGCCTTTGCTCAGGAGAAATCTGGGGCTCTCGGCATCATGAAAGCTGAGGGGCAGCTCTGCTCTGTCCAAGGGGTCACCCTGAGTCAGGTCAACTCAGTCGTAGTGGTCTGGGTTGGGGTTTGTGTGTAACAGGGGTGGGGGGGTGTCACTGCACACACATGCCCCAGAGGGCTTTGAGGGACGGGCAGCAGTGAAGCGGGAAGTGGCCAGGCTGAACATATGCTCTTTCTGCAGCTAAGAGAAATCAGAAAACAGGGAGAGGAGGGGATCTCTACTTTCAACTGAGAATAAGAAAACAATGTAACGAATGAAACATTAATTTGCCAGAACCATCCACGCCTTCCAAAACTCCACTCGGACCAAACTATGGACGAGAAAGGAAGGCAACACGGCAGAGGCTCAAGGGACAGAGCGCCCCAACTTTGTCTGGCACCCCCACCCCCACCCCACCCCAATGTGAGCCACTGAGGCTCACACCCAGAATGGCTGCTCCCCGTCACCCTCCCAGGAGACATCTCCAGGGGTGCCCAGCCCACCAAACAGACGGGGCCCAGGCGGGCTGGATGCCCCCGACAGAGGGCACAGAGGAACACACAGAACTCCCACAGCGGAGAGCCCTGGACGGGCCCCATCACAGGCAAGCCTCCAAGGACGCTGTGTCTTACCTTGGTGACGTGTTCTTCCTCAAAGTCATCCTCATCTTCATCTACCCTGAGGAGGGGACACACACACACAGACACGAGTCTTCTTCCCGCCAGTGTAAGCAAGAAAACATTTACTGACAAGTCCCAAGACGCCCCTCTGCTCAGAGGCCCACGGAGCTCTGGCCGGAGACGGGCACAGGCAGCAGCGAGGTTCTGTCCGAGCAGCGGGGTCTCACTTGCTCAGCACACCCTGCGGCCCACTGCTGCTCAGCCTGAAGGGCAAGGGACATGGCCGGGAAGGTAAAAGGAGCAAGGCGTTCCCCGACCCACATTCCACACGAGGAGCCTGGTCAGAGCTGGATGCTGTCCATCTCGGTAGCTGAGGCCGTCCTCCCACTTAGCCGCCATACCTGGATCACCTCTGCTGTTCTTGCTGGAACACTCTGCCCTTACCTGCTCCCCCTGCCCCACGCCAACGCCTAATCAACACAAACGTCACCTCCAGGACAGGCCTGCCGGGACCTCGCCATGGCACCAGGTGCCTGACCTTGGAATGAATGCCCACTTCATTCACAACAGCTCCCAGCCACACCAGGGCCCTCTGACGAGCACACATCTGTCTGTCCTGCCTCGGCTCTTCCTGGTCCTGGAAGGTCTCTGTACAAAGGCCTCTCCCTGTACGGCGACAGCCCGGTGCCAGTCCACTTTGCCCCATTTGACCATCCAGGTAAAAGCATCAATTTCACAAAAGTGGGCAGGTTTCAGTCAGCTCCTGCGACCAAGTGTAAGCTTGCTGGAGGCAGGGCCCATGGCTGTCTTACTCATCTCTGCAATCCCAGTAACGGGAGCAGACCGGCGCTGCAGCAGAGCCTCCGAGGTGTCTGATAAATGATCACCGAGCAACAGGAGACTCTGGAAAGGCAGTCTGCTCCAGAAATGGCCCCCTTGTCGCCTCCAATGTTCTCTAGTCCCCTGGGAGGTCACAGCTCAGAGAGCAGACACCTGCGCACCAGGACCATGCTTATTATAATGCCTTGAGGTTTCCAAAAAGAAATGCTCGAGTAAGGACACCTGGGAACCCAGAAGTGCCCGGTGGTGCACACGGTTTGCTCCTGGGGACTGACCGAGGTTGGTCAGTCACACCCACTCTACGGGGCCCAGAAAAAAGGCATGGCAAGCGCCTTCAAGGGCGAGCACAGCCAAGAAAACCCCATGGGGCAGCTCCGTGCGGCATGTACACGGTCACTGTGACTGCAGCTCTGTGCTGTGTGTGACACACGGGTCGCTGTGACTCGGGAGGACTTGACGGCAGTGGGGGTGGTCTGACTGGAAGGGTACCTCATGGGTATAGGTCACAGACTTGACAGTGTCGCCTGGTGGTAAAAAGCAGCTGGAATCCAGAGAAGCTGGGTTCAAGTCCCAGCTCCCTGGCGTCCTGGCTCTGTGCTCTTGGCCAAGCTGTCCCGCCTCACTGTGCCGCAGTGACGCTACCCTGAGCTGCCGAGAACACCAAGCCCACCGTCAGAGCGTCGGCAGGGCCCTCCCTGCAGTCAGCTCTCCCTGAGGAGGCCTGGGGCGCTGCATTCAGCACCCACCAGCTGCTCTGCGGGAACACAGGTGGCAGTCTGCTTCCAGAATGATTGACAGCCTTGGAAACCCCCAGAGGCAGGTCCCCTGTGCCCCTCCTGAGTCGCTGAGTCGGAATGAACTCGATGGATGTGAGTCTTGCTGTTGTTGTAAGCAACACCGACGCACCCGCGGAGGGCCCGGCTGGAGAAAGCATAGAGACCCTCCCAGTGAGTGACAAGCCTCTTGTCTGGGTGCGAGGGAGGGCACTGTCTTACCCACTGGTGGTCCGCGTCTCTTCATCACTCTCGTACTCCTCCAGGACCAGCTCCTCCTCCCCAGACTGGAGCTGCTCCGGCCCTGCCCCCGCTGCCAGCATCTCCCTGCTGAGGCGGAGCAGCCGCTCCATTTCTTCTTCTTCTTGTCTCTAGAGGGGCAGTGGAGGTGGCAAGGAGAAAGGGCACTCAGGCCCGGAGCCCACCCTTGACAGTCGCAGGGGCAGACGCACGGCTGCCCCTTCGCATCGGCCTCGTGTTCTACGTGGGCCTCAGCTCAGGTTGCCCCACGGTGGAGGATGGGAAGGGGGCCAGTGACGGTTTGGGAAAGACGGTGGGGGCCTTGCAGAGTTCCAAGCGAGCGAGCCAGGCGTGGTGCTGACCAGGGCCGGCTGGCCCCAGAAGGGCACTCACCGAGCGCTTGGCTGCGTACTTGAGCTGTGTGTTGTGGCGCAGCTGCTGGAGGCGCTCCTCCCGCTTCTTCCTCCGCATCTGCTCCTCCTGGAAGATGCAGCCACCTGAAGAACACTTCCACAATGATGGAGGCTGGGCCTTCCCATCATTGATAGGCCGCCTGGGGACGGCTCCCCTCCCCGCCGAGCACCCAGTGGCTGCAGGGTCTAGGCAGCAAATAGTCTGCCTTCCAAACCCATTGCTTAATTGTGTCCGAGTGTGATGACTGAGCCAGTGTGGGCTGGGTTCATTTCCAAGGCTAGGCGTGAACAGGAGCTGCCAGGCCCTGGTCTAGAGAAGGCTTGTTTGAAAGTCCAGCCCAAACGACAGCAGGGGGCAGTGGCCGCCACTCCACACAGTGAAGGGCTAGCCAGGCTGTGCTGAGCTGGAGAAGAACTCGGGGCACCTGAATTTCAGAACCCACCTGAGCTAATGATCATTTCAGACCCACTTTTTTCTTCCCTTCCTAGAAATAGTACTTTTCATTTTGTGCTCAGAAATTGCACCTCCAAGTATATTAAGAGAAATTATGTTAATAAAAGCTTCCTAATAAATGGGGGGGGGGGGAGTAGAAATGCTGCAAGAATGACCCCAGTGATGTGTTTAGAGACACTCCCTTCATACCGAGGCCACTACGATGAGTTTAGTGGCATTTGCACTGGTATCCACACTTCCGAATCACCGCCACGCCCACTCCTGGTGACCCCAGGCACTCACCTTGAGCCGGTCCACCAGGTCCCTTTCCTCCTTCCTCTGCACAAACTGAGTGACCCAGTCAGGCTCTCCGGCAGGCCCTGGCGCCTCTGGGGGCTCTTGGCAGGAGGCAGAGAGAGATGGAGGCTGGGCCTTCCCATCACTGACAGGGAGGGCTCCACTTTCAAGGAGACGGGCCTCTTCTTGACGTTTCTTCTGCTCAAAGTCACGGAGCCAGGAGAGAGCCCCACAAATCAGGCTTAAAGATTTCCCCTGCCGAGAGAAACTCTTTCCAGAAACGGAGGATAGAACAAAAAGGCTCCCCAAAGAGCTTTCCCCACTTTAACAGAATCTTCACAGAAAGCCTGGCTTACACGCCAGAGGGTGCTCAAAGACCTGCCTTAGAGAGGAGATTATTAACAACACATCCAAATCCAAACCAGACCCACGGCCATTGTCTATGCCAGGGGCTGTCAGGCTCAATGAAAACGCGGGCCATTTGGTGCAACAGGCAAGATTCATGCGGGCCACAACACACTTAGAAATTTTGTTAAATTTATATTAAGTGAGGATTCAGGAATATGGATAGGATATTTAAAACACGATATAATTGCTTTTATTTAAACATTTTATTTAATGTATTTATAAAACTAAAATTATTATTTTTTACCCGAAACTTGCCAGTGCTTTCCTCCTACTAGTTTTCACTTACCTCTGATGTTGTGACCGGAAAATATAACAAAGTAACTAATAAAAAACACAACATGCTGGGCAGCTGACAAACTTGATGCACAATCGTAATGCCTTCCCTCTAAAAATGTTAACTAGCGCTGCTGCTAGGTATGATTCATAACAACATAACTCAGAGTGCTCTTTTTAACCTTCTCGCTATTGGGATCTGTTTACATTACCTGACACTGAGAGTGGCAGACATATCGCTTCCAAACGTCGCCAGAACGAGGCAGTGCGTTTATCCACGTCCACAGGCCCCCGGGAAAGGCACTGGGCCACCTGTAGACTCGTCTTCAGTAGTTAAGGGTTCACAAGGAAAGAGTGTGTACGGTATTGCCTCAATCTCACCTAAGCGCTATTTACTTCATAACAATTTTTTTCTATTTTCAGTTTATTTCAGAGCATTGCAGGCCACAAAAAATTACCTCAGGGGCCACAAATGGCCCTCGGGCTGCCAGTTTTGACACCCCTGGTGAGGTAGTTAAGCTTACTGTGCCAATCTGGCCAATAAACACGTGGGGTTAATTTAGGGGCGGAGAGATAAAGGGCTTGGTGAGCCTCGCCTTTCTAGTTCTCGGGTCTCTTGCTCTCTGGCGGTCAGACCAGGTGCAGCTGCCTTAGCCAGTTCCCTGCTTCAGCTGGCAAGGCTCACTTCCTGCAAGACATCCCTGAGAAGCCGCATGGACCTACCCCAATGCAGCCCTGGGTGCTGGAACATGTGGAGACCCGTGCCAGAGCTGAGATGCTTACACATTTGGCATCATTGCGTCTGTTTAGTGAGATGGAGGAGGGTTTTGTGGATTGGTGTTGGACATATGGGATAATGTTGGACTTGTGGGCTTGGGCAGCACTGGATTGGGATGTTTTATTGATATGCACTTACCCTTTATATAAAGCCTCATACCTGAGTTCTGTGGACTTGTTTCTGTAATGGACCCAGACTGACACCCCTGGTCTCTGCCAACTCACAGCAACCCTATAGGACCGCAGAGCACAAGGCCCCGAGGAGCAGAATCCTCATCATGTTCCAGATGAGTGGCTAGTGGGTTTGGATCGCTGACCTTGAGGTTAGCAGCTAAGATCACAATCCACTATGCCGATGGAGCCCGGGGGCATTGTACTGTTCGCAATAGACACAGCAACAGCCTGTGAGGTTGGCTGTTCAGACACCCCGGCCAGTGCACAGGAGAAAGATGAGGCTGTGAAGATTTACAGCCTCGGAAATGCTACATACGGTTCTGATGAATCAGAATTGACTAGATGGCAGTGAGTTTTAGACATACAATAGGGAGTAAAAATGGGATGAAGACGTAAATAAATACAGATTAGGCCCCCAAAGCAAGCAAGCAAGAGCTTCCATTTGCAGAACTGTACAGCTCACTAACCCTAAAATAATTTAAAGTGGTTTAGTGGGTTACATAAAAGATAGTAAGCTAATATCATTGGAAGTGGAAAACAGAACCCCCAAACAATTACGGCCAAACAAATTCATAGCATGACACCCCATCTACCTGCTAAGGTATTGGACGATCCCACAAATTTAACCCTAAGCTTTTGTGCAGCCAATGTTCAGAGAGAATATCATCAGTCGCAGGAGTCATAGTATATACACTTTTTGTTTTTTAATGGAACTCAATTGCTCTGGAGAACATAGCTCTGGATCTAGAGGCCTGAACGAACCCCCCAGTGTGTCTTCACAGAGAGGAGATGGCAGTGAGTGTCACCAGGCTGCTTCTCTCTGTGTCCAGAGGGAGTCTCCGTGCAGGGTAGACTCCCTCTGGGGCCAACATCCTTCAGTCCAGAAAGTCTCCAGAGACTGATCACCCGGGTGAATCCCAGAGTACCAAGAGGGGGTTCTGACCCTCACCCAGGACCAAATGGACTGCAGTAGAATGGTGTTGCCCTTGCATGCATTTAGGGACAGGGAAGCAGCATGCATGGCCCCGTGTGTAAAGGACATCAACTCTGGGGTCAAGACACTGCTCCTGACACTTGCCTGTACTGAGGGCAAAGCTGTTTCCACTGGGATGGATGCAATCACAGGGCCTTCCTCCTAGAGGTTCGGCAAGCACTCTACACAGTGTACGCTTAGAGGCTAGCGCCTACCCCTAGTACCTAAGTGAGCAAGTGGTGTAAGCTGCTATTCTGCCGCTATTAAATAGTAGTAGTAATAATTATCACCCTTGGATGAATTCCCCTGGTTTCATCAGGTTCTTAAAGGGCCCTGTGACAAAATGACAATTCTAATGGATGACCAGAAAAGCCGCTGCACACACCTTCCCTCCGCTTCTCAGATGAGGCGGGCGGCATTGCTGCAGACAGTGCTCTGCAGGAGGGCCCGGGCAGCGTTCTGCCCGCATGTGACACGGGGGCGTTTGTTACCCCGGCACGAAAGCGGACAGCAGGCGCGACATACCTCTGTAACAACAGCCCACGGACAGAAGCCTGCCTCAAGAGCCGGCCCCTCCACTGGAAAGGGGACCGAGCTGCTCGTCCACAGTTAAATGTCAGTAAACTAGTGCAACCACTGTGGAGAGTGCAGGACATGTCCTGAAAGGAGTTGGAAACAGAAATACCGTATGTCCCGGAAATCCTGCGCCAAACCAAACTCACTGCCACCGAGTTGATTCTGAGAATCAGAATATACACGCGAGACTATAAACGTGTAGCCTCATCTTTCTCTTGAGAAGTGGCCGCTGGGTTCAAACTTCCAACCTTACAGTTAGCAACCCAACACCGAGACCACTAAGCCCACTATTAGACATACATTCTAGAGAAGTAAAAGTCACAGCACAAAGCGCTGTCTGCACACCCATGTTAGGCACTGTAGCAAGAAGATGGAAACCACCCACGTGCCCATCAGTGGACAGCAGCGTGGACAGAGTGTGGTGTGTGCACCAGTGGGGCACGACACAACACCACCGCCTAGCGGCAAGTCTACAACCCCCGCATGTGGAAGCACTGGGGGATGCTACGCTGAGGAGTACGTCCGTCACACACGGCCAATGTGGACTGCTTGGGAGGTCACCACGATCGTCAAGGGCATGAGAAGAAGCTCTTGGTCATGAGTGGTCTAACAGCAGAGATACACAGAACTGCGAGCCCAGGCAATAAAGTGAAAAGCAAAACTCTTCAGAAAGTAAAACAAAAGCAAGCTGGAGGTGGAGGGAGTCCAAAGAGAAAGGCTGTCAGAGGAAAACATAGTCCAAGGATAAGGCAGGAAGTCCTGAGCCAAAGGAGCAACTGGACACTGCAGGAAGGACACAGAGGAACGAACCTTAACACAGACAAGGCAATTTCTCAGAACCGAGAGCTTCAAGTCCCTGGACTGAAAGGGCCCACCAAGTGGCCGACAGAGGAATGAAACCACCCCCCAGTCAGGTCCACCATCGTGCAATCCCAGAACACAAAAGACAAACAGAAGACGGTGAAGCCCAGCGAGGGACAGGGTCCCCCACAGACTAAGATGTAGGTTTCCCTCGGCCTCCTAACAGAGCTATGGTGGTGCAGTGCATTAAGCACTGGGGGTGTGCCTAACTACATGGTCAATGGTTCAAGCCCGCCAACCCTACAAGGGAGAAGGCGCAGCCGTCTGCCCTGCGCGGAGTCACAGTCTGGGCAACCTACGCAGCAGAGCCCCTATGCTCTGCTCTGCTCTGCAGGCTCACCGTGCACTGGAACCAACTCGATGGCAGCTGGGGGGGGGCAGTCTTTCCCCCCATTTTCTCAGCAACAATGGAAGCTAGTGTGGCTGTGGTAAAGGCAAAATAAAGACAATTTTACAGTGGAAAAATCTGGAAAATTGACCTCCTATACAACCCTTCTCAAAAACGTGTTGTACTCAAGCGAGGGGATAGCGCCCCAAAAGGATGATGAGATGGATTCTGGGAAGCTGAACCCCCCACAGGTACAGTAAGAATAAAAGAGCCTCAAGACACAAAGCACAGCCTGGATGAACCCCAAAACTATGCGGAGCAACTCACAGGGCAGGCGCTGCATGCTTCCTTCTCAGGATGTCTGGGCAAAACCCCAGTGGACACCCACCCCCCACCCCCACCCACCCCCCGCCCAGGAGACGACTGCCTGGGGCTGGGCTGGCAGAGCAACCTGCAGAGGAGGCTGCAGAGAGCCAACACACTTGCGGGGCGATGCACACGGTCTACCTCTTGACTGCGGTGATGGTGCGTGGGGTTTACATCTGCCACAGTGCGTTGGCGCTGTCTTTAGTATCGGTGGGTCAAGAACGCTGTTGTGGTCGTGGCTGAACACAGAGAAGGGAGCTCCTAGGACAACAGCTACAAAGTCGACCTAGGGCGTACCCATCCCCAGCACAGCAAATTCATGGACCCGTTCGGGAGGGAAGCTCCCGGAGAACAATGGAGTGGGCCATGATCTGAGTGGGAAATTATATGAAGAAGCCATTGGATGATGTGGGAAGAATTGACCAGAGGTACAATAAGAATGCACCAAACTTTAAAGACGCAATTTTTAACTCTGGAAAAGCCACCCAAAAGAAGATCAAGAGAGGAAACATACCCATAGTACAGGGATCAACAGAGACAAACACCTGTGACAGTGATGTGACTCGGAGGGGGGGCCGGGGAGGAACAGAGACGGCAAGACCAAACCTGCATGTATCAAAGGCACCTGTGTCCAGCATCTATCAAGACACTGCTATCTAAGCTGATCATTCATAAACATGGTAAGAAAACGCCCCTTCTTCCAAGAAACAGCTGAGATGGATTGAAAGTGTCTGCCTGAAGCACTCAGTTCAGTAGGGTCTGAGACACTGAGTCCTTGATGAAAGCTTTCCAATTAAGAAGGAATGCTCAACAGAAACAAATGTTGCCGTGTCCAAGAAAAGACCACTCCAAAAAAAAAAGAAAAGTGGAATCTGTTCAACAGGAAGCCCGGAGTGGCTGGAACCCTGTCTCAGGGGAGCCACGCTGCACGGACTAAATGGAGGGAAGAAGGCCAGGCTTCTGTGACGCGGGAGTAGCTGAGGACACGGCACTCACCACGCGTCCTGTGAGGGAATGCAGTTCACTGGCAGGACAAGTCCCTCCCACCTCTCGAGACAGAAAGAACAGAACAGAGCAGTAGAGTGCGCTCCGTCCACACTCGTCCTGTCCCAGGAGATGTGGGGTCATCTCACGAGTGGCGCCCTCAACAGGGACGAGCGAAGGAATGCATCACTTTCTTTTATTCATTCATTTCTCTCTCTCTCTCTCTCTCTCTCTCACACACACACAGCTTCTCATGGGCCAAACCGGCCAAGTTCTGCTAGATGACGGGGGACAACGAGACAAGGGGGAGAAGGTCCTTCTTGTCCGTGTCCAGTTGGGGCCCTTCACATCCACGGGCAGACGTGTGCTAACACACAGTGTTTTGCTACAAAAGATAATAAAGTGCAGAAGAGAAGCCTGGAACCGCTCACTGCAGCCTTACTCATCCTTAACAACCAGCCCCTCATAAATCCCGCATTCCTCCAGGCCAAGGGAAATGGGGGAAAATTGGATCCTTCCAGCACTTGGTAATTTTACCCCAAGAGATGCAAACAATATGCTCAATCTGCGAAGAGGCCAAAGTGATTTCTGTTTCTCGACATCAGAGCAGTTCATGTCCAAATACACGCAGTATCTGGAAAGTGTCAGGGCTACAGGTCACGGATTCTGGTGCCATTCAAATCCCTGTGCCTCTTGCCTAATTCTTCTCAGACCCTGGGCCTGTGCTTAACTATTTAACAGAGGAAGTGACGACGCCTCAGTAAGCTAAGTGGAGAGTCTGTCCAAGTTTGAGACATAAAAACCTCTGCACAGGCAAAGGGAAAAAGCAAACAATGCTGCTTCGAAACTGTCCTGAGTGCAGACTCCCAGGTCATACTTACAGTGCCAGTTGGGCTCTCAAATATCCCAATCTTGCCAGCTTCTAACAGCTGGTACAGCTCTGCCATGAAGTCTTTCTGGATGGAATACGGTGTGTAGGGAAAAGGGAAGTGGAGGCCACCAGTCTCTTGGGTTTCGTTAGCCATGGTTCTAGAGGGGAAGAGAAAAAGAACCGGAGGAGCATACTTAAACCTAGAGCAGTCCTCATGCTTGTGGAACGTCCCCTGTCACTTTGTCCTCTCCTGCTCTGCAGACCCTCAAGAGGCCTCAATAAAACGCTGCAACCACCCTTTATCAGAAATATCTGTTAGCAAAACGCAGCCGATGATACCTTCCTAATGCCTCCGAGGTGGGCTGCTGGGCTCCAGGATGTGTGCGGCCCACGGTGACTCCTGCAGCCTTCTTCTGCCACCGCGGGCCGTGCACTGCAGCACGCACATGCCCATGTGGCTTCGCCTTATTCTGCCGCGAAGACCTGGAAAGTCACGACATACAGAGGGTTACAAGAGGAGCATTCCCCGGACGGCACGGGTTAAGAGAGGCCCCAACTTTCAGGTATCTTCTGTGCTGCCTCCCAGTCCGTCCTATCTTCGTTTCCCAAGCAGCGCACAGTCTCCTCCTCGTCATTTTTATGGCCTGAAGAAATAAAAGCTGCTCTCCATCTGGTTCCAGCGGGAGGGTTCTCTTCAGTGACTAAATCCAGGCTAGAACAGCTCCTTAACACGGGGGGAAACAAAACACCAAGCCCACTGGCCTGGAATAGCTGCTGCCACGTGACCACCCAACAGGACAGAGAGAGCTGCCCTGGAGGGTATCCTGGGCTACAATCCATCCGGAAGCAGAGGGCCACAGCGCTCTCCCAGGGAGCAGAGGCAGCGTGGGGGCTGGCAGCCTTTTGACTAGGAGTGGCTGAGGGCTCCAGCCAGCGGGCTTCCTTCATAATTCCGAGGCCATAGCAATTTTTTTTTTTGCAAAAGCTCCATTTTCAATCTTGTTCTTTTGTAAACACCCCATCTCTTTGAAACAATGTCTATGTCCCCTTCCATCTTTAATCACCATTTGGAGGAATGGCTCTTCAGCCCTGGTTCCCACGCCTCTCCCGTCCAAAGTCCTTTCTCCAAGCTCTTTGGCAGGCCTGTTTCTTCTAAGAACACACAGTAATAACCGAAAACCCTTCACATTTGTACTCCAGCAGCCCGAACTAGACATCACCCTGTCAGCCCGTTTATGAGGGAAGGGAGCTGCCATAATGTGTTTCCCGTTATACTTTGGGAGCAATTAAATAACTGCACAACGAGGGCCATTCAAAACTGCTACCCACTTGTTGAACTGTCAGCCTGTGCTGACTGCATTTGCTGTGATGCTGGAAGCTAGGCCACTGGTATTTCCAATACCAGCAGGATCACCAGAGGAGCTTCGAGACTCAGAACAGACTAGGAAGAAGGAAGAGGCTGTTCACCTCTGAAGGATTAGCCACTGAAAACCTTACAAGGGGTAAAAGAACACCGCCGGACGACAGTCCCTTGGGTGGGAAGGCATTCACAGTAACATCGGAAGAGCGGCCTCCTTAGAGCAGAGCTGACGTGAATGGCATGGATGCATTAGAGCTTTCAGAACTGTCATTTGCTCATAGAATCACTCCATATGAGAAGCAATGGCTGCAAGTATTGATGAGAAATTAGAACAAGGACGGACAAAGTATGAACCTAAGAAAAGTGGAAACTGTCAAAAACAGAATGGAGCACATAGTGATCCAAATCTGGGCATTCGTGAAGTGAAATTCACGACTGGTGGTACTGGCCACTTGTGTCAGACAGTCATCAGGAGTGATGCATTTGAGAAGCTAGGCATTGCATTCATCTTCAAAAGGTCTGGATAGGACAGGCTGGATGAACAATCTGGAGGAGAAAAC